GTTGTAATTAAAATTATTATTGTCATCATTTACGGCATCCAATTAGAAGAGCCAAATCCTTAATTTGTGTTGTCTGCAACATGTAAATAGGCTCTACAGATCATCTGAAACTACCAACCAGAGGATTTATTTTGATGTTGAACCTTACGGTCACCACCTTGGAACCGGTGGGCAGGTAATGTTGTTATGGCTGTTCTACCGTGACCCCGAGTGTCTCCCCGCCCCCTTTTTTTTTCCCTTCACACATATGGAGTTGGGGCAGGGACACACTTGGGATCTTTAAAAAAAACTTATGGTTATGGATCACAATGATTTTACTTTGTGTGTTTGTGTGTTTTGTCTTCCAGGACGGTTCAGTTCATATATATAATCTACAAACGGGAGAATGGGTATCAAGCTTTCAGGCTGCATCAGGTTTTTTGCACTTAATCAATCGTGTTCGTTAAAAATGCAATCATTTCTTTCAAACATTTTTCATGTGATTTACAGATACTATCAACGGTTTCTCCTACCATCCTTTTCTGCCAATGGCTGCAACTTCATCGGGGAACCGAAGATTTGTAGGATTCGATGACTCTTACGAAGAGGATTTACTTCTCACAGGTATTTATCCCATTTTATTTACTGTAGACGCTGATCATATCCTTTTGTAGTAGTAGTAGTAATAATTGAAGTATTTTTGTCTTGTAGAAAATGAAAACTGTGTGTCAGTGTGGAGCTTCTATTCACACACTGGGAGTAGTATTGATTCTGGAGATTTAGACACTGAAGATGGCGGCGAGCATTCTAAAGGTTTTAGTGGCCAACCAGAAATGGAACAACCTTAACCAAGTGGGACTTACCTAAGTTGAACTTATTTGAGTTTAATTTAATTTTTTTTAGTTCAGTTCATACTTTCTCAACTTAATGACACATAGTGAGTCAATGCATCGGCTTCTGCTATTCGAACTTGGGTAAGCTTCCTCATAAATTGTATTTAATTAAATTTTAATTGAAAAATATTGGATTAAATTGAAAATAAGTAGAAAATAAAATACACCAAGTCTCCAAGTATTACTCCTCTCTCACAAAAAAGGATTTGTATTAAAAACAAGTTCCTTTTTTACATTTGAGGAAAAAAGTATGTGGCTTATATCAATATTATAAACTTCAGGATGAAAGAAGTATAACTAAAAAACTATAAAGACCTTAAGAGCCTGTTTGGTGAGTTTGTAGATATAATAAGATACTAGCGTTGGAAATTTGGAAGAAAAGTATAAAAATAAAATACCTATGTACATGAACTAAAAAGCAACACCTACAACAAATGTAATATTCTCCATCAAAATAAAAAAAATGAACAAATACTTTGACAATTTGATAGAGAGAAGAAACAAAATTTGAAGTAGATACAACTATCTTTGAATTGATAAAGAAGAAAGAAAATTGACTGTGGATGAGAAGATTTGTGTGATGAAGAATATGAGAAGCAGAGTCGTCAATGATGAAGGAAATTGCCTTGGGGTTTAAATGCTTGTAATGAACCCTTTGAATGGGTTTTAGACCTTTTTTTGGGCGGGTGTTAAGAAATTTAGGAGGGAATGTGAATTAATTTTGGATATTTTTGTGATGTAAGTTGTGATTTGATGTAACTTTACCCATACTTTAAATAATGATTATAAGTAGTCATTCCACTTCCTCATTTTCGGCCAGGAAACTGCCCCCCTTCCCCCATTATTTAAACAAGGGTATTTTAGTCTTTCTATAGCCATTTTCAAGCCTTCTTAAAAATAAGGAAAAGTCAAACCGGGAACATCATCCCCGGACGGAAGGAGTATTGGCTTACAGTGTAACTTCCTTTGCAACTAGGCTACAATGCCAGTTTTCAGTGAACACTACTTTCGCAATAGTGTAGTAATGCTAGTTTTCAGTGCATATTGCCTTCAAATTGGTTTTCAATACAGATGTATAGTCTTTTCAATAATAATGTTTTGGTCTCATGCGTGAATTATGTTCTATTTAAGTAAAAAAACAATTTATTTACCCCTATATACGTAATTTTCATATTATGACACAAAATAGTATCTCTACGGTGCTTCGTTCTTAATATCGATAGTTTCTGTCCTAACTCAAATCTCTCACTCAAACATCTACCCTACTCACGAGATTATGGATTGCCGAAATTGTTGCCAAACAGTCATTCTGCAGGCAGAGGGGGCTAAGGTGCGCGTAGATGAGACGAAGCAGATTTATGGGGGTTGTGATGGTAGAAATTATATATCAACTTTAAAAATGGAGATATCTTAATTTAGATAAGCTAGCGTCAAGGTTATGTGTTAGATCATGTGCTATGGTGGGCTTAACGGAGCTTGTTGAAATGCCATGCAGGTGTTCCGTAAGCGGTTGGGTGTGAGTAACAAAATGTGTTATAAGACTTGAAATAGGGTGTGGCCGAAAAGTGATGGGGTGAAGATGTAGACATTTAATATGTTAAATTTTGATTGGTTAAAGAAATAAAAATGGGAAGAGGCCATCACGACGGTATGGCTACCATAACCAAAGGGGCAACGCCCCTGCACGCCTAGTATGGCATGGGGAAGGAGGTGGCGTGAGGTTAGTGAAGTTTGAAGAAACGCTTCATAACTAAGGTCCTTATAGTGGCTTGAGGAGGGCTTGATCTCCTCCTTCACATCTCATTCTCTATTACACAGTGAGGCGATGTGTCGTTGGCTCGTCGTTGCTCCTAAACATGTGATGGTCATCATGGTACTTTTGCTCTATTTCTTTTCTTTTTTTCTTTTATTCTTTGTTTCTCTTTTTTTTTAATTTTCAACTATTTAAATTTAAAACACATTCACTATATCACTTGATGGTCAAGTATAGTTTCAAGGCAAGTTCTTTGGTGATCTTTAGATCTATACTCATTTAATGGAGTTTAATACATAAAATGATTGTATCTATTGGGTATTGTTAAAAAGAGATCCAACCATGAGTGCTAGAAATTTGTTAACAATGTCTATACTTCACATGTTTTTTAGGACCACGATATCACAACATATTGCACATTTTTATACTCACACCCACACGCTTAGGAGAACCTACGTGGCACCTTATCAAGTCTAGTCACAACATATTGTCTAAGAGCATTTACAACGAAGCAGATTCTCGTCTTGTCCCAATCTGTGTCTCGTCATCATTCCTTTTGTTCTCTACCAGGCTAAAACACTTGCAATGTTAGCATCCATTCGCCCTGCCTCTCCATTTGTTTTACAATATTCATCACTTCTTAAAAACTTATATATATTTAATAAAAAATGTCTATCAATTAATATAAATAGATAAATATTTTTTTAAAAAATAAAAAGGAGTTATAACAACGAAAAAGCAATAAATATAAAATACTTAACAACGTAACTAAATGTGAAATATTACATTGATAAAGGGGGGGTTTAACATGGTTAAAATTTAAACTTAAATTACAAATTATAAAAAATTTAAAAACAAATACTATTGATTTCTACCTCTGGTCATGGTGTGGGCTGCATTGGTCATGTCGATGAGAGTGAGATGAGAGTAAATTGAGTTAGATGAAAATAGATAAATTTGAGAACAAATGTCTTCAGATAGGAGCAAAACATACTATGTCCGTGCTGGAAAAACATTTCTTTTGCTAACTTTTGAGAGGGGAAATTATTGAAGTTTGATCAAGGTTAAACAACGACAATTGAAGTAGGTTATGTACTTATGTTGATTTAAAAAAAGTAAAGATAATTGTGTCTATTTAACATAATTTGAAATGTTTTATTGGACAGATAAGATGTGAAAATTGAAAAAATTTTACGGGACGGAGGAAGTATCTCTTATCTCCAAATAGAATTTCATATTGTTTATCCCCAAAATAGGAATGTGCATTGTGGCATTGTGGCACTGTATATTTACATTTCACAATATTTTTTGGTGTGATATGGTGACAATATAGGAATTGTAACTCCAATTTTGGTAATAAAAATATGAAACTCCTATTTTTTATTTTTCTACATGTTTTATTTCAGTTTTGGTATTTTTTCCAAATTAAAGCTGGAGATGTGGTAAATTATTTAATTGAAAGCGAAAAAATAAATTGAAATTGAAAAAAAAACAAAAAAAAATGGAAATTAAAAAAATAAATTTCAATTGAAATAGAATTTGATATAAGAAATCGCCTTAAATAAGAGTAAAACGTAAAGAAAGTACCGAAAACAGGAATTCCATATTTTTATTTCCAAAATAAGATTTTCCATGAATAATTTGACACTGTATATGCACATTTCATAATACTTTTTGTTATTATATATTTTTATTCTTGGCATTATATATGCATTTTAATTAACTCTTATTTTGGGAATAAAAGCATACAACTTTTATTTTGGTATATTTTCTAATGAAATCTATCTGCATAGGAGTAAAAAATTATGAAAATATCAAAATATGAGTCTTAAGTCTTTTAAGACCAAAATAGAGGTATAATGGCGGTGTGATGTTAGAGTACCTATTGGCTATATGGTGGAAAAGTGACGACGTACAGTGTAATATATCAGTGTGATCAGTCAATCGCTGGTGATCTGCAATGGCACTCTGGTAGCCAGCGGTATTAGATGACAGTGTGGCGGGAATAGTGTGACCGTTACAGTGTGACGATGTAGTGAGTATGGCAATGTAACAACTAACAATTTTACTCCTATCAAGGCAGTTCTCTATTTTCTACTCCCACCGTCCCAAAAAGAATGGGACGATTTGACTTTTTGGGAAATTAAGGGAGAGATATTTTGGTATTGACTTTCCAAAAATACATTTGATGTGAAAGGTAAAAAGATGATGTAATGGATAGATTATTAGAAAAAAGGTATGATGTGATAGGTAAGGTATGAAAAAGTAAGGGGTAAAAATAGTTTTTTAATAGAAATGTAACGGACTCTACGGGACACAGTTTTTTCTAAACGTAACAAACTTTTTGGGACGGAGGAAGTACATCTTATAACTCATGCTTTAATTTTTTTTCCATTTAATGCTCCCAGCAATGGACGCTGTCGCGGCATCTTCGTCCGCGTCCTATGCCGGACGCACCAATGGCACCAATGTCCCCTGCATTCGCGGACCGTGGGGCGCCCCCACCCCTTGGAGCAGCTCGGTGACTTTCCCCATCTCGATCATCGATCGCAAATAATGTTCTAATATGATGATATGCTCGATCAAATCCGGCCGCCAATATCATACGAATAACGTACCGTTATATCTCACTCTTGCTCACCCCACCCATTATATTATTCCTCTGTGTTTTCGTTTTCAGTCTTCAACCAAACACAGTGAAGATTGAGTAGTGGTTGAATATAATGTCTTATATGCACATGCATCATCGATCGACTTTTTCTCTGAGGAACACCAAACACCGTTACACCCAACACCACACTGACTCTTCCCGTACGTACGCTGCTATCTGCCCCTACAAGTTTGTTGGGAAAATTAATGAAAACGTGGATGAATCCAGAGTCTTGTAGAACACTCTTAGATTGAATATTTTGGTTCTTCAATCCAAAATTCAATCGAATAAAATTCGAAAGTATCAAGAACAAAATAAGGAATGCTATGAAATTTCCGAACGACTTCCGACCATGGACTTGCGGGAGTTTATGGAGTTGCGGTGAGAAGAGGAGACGCGATCGCGTCTCTTACCTAAGACACGCGATCCTTCGCGCGGAACTCTTCAAAAATTGGCACTATCTTTAGGGAATTTTCTTTTTAAAGAAAATTCAAAAAATAAAAATTCAATTGAATTTTTTAACATAGCACTTTGTTCAAAATAAAAAAAATTCGAGTTGACCTGCGCCCCTTTAACCCTGCTCGGGGGCGCTGCCCCCATGGAATCCCCAAGAAAACGGGATTTTTATCGTAACAAAGTCAATAAAGCATGCACTCTGTACCACCAAACTTCTTTGTTGATTATTAAGATACCATTGGTCATAGTTTTT